AAGACCAAGATTGAAAAATGACCGTAAAGTTTTAGGAAGGAAGCTCTCTCTTTCTTTCAATTCTTTTGAGGACTGAGTTGCGTCTTTGAAGACTAGCGTAACCTTCCACAGTTTAGTCAACGTTTATCTAACTTTCGCTAAGTAATCTGCCATCCTCACAAAATTAATTAAAAAAGATGAAAACTCGAGACAAAAGTCAGTTTTCAATTACGCTTTGCTCGGCCATCGAGCGTACACCAAATTTCTCAGTTTTTCTTTTCTCCTAAAGATGCAACGATTTGCTTGTAATAACTGAAAATTTCTCGAAGAAAAAACTTCCGCCAAACTGAAATTGAAGTCCATCATAAGTTCTTTTGTTCTACTGTAAATTGTTTTTAGCAAGTAGCAGATACTGTTACTCAAAGTTTCATTTTGTCTATACATGGTTCAAAATTTATCCATCAAACATCAATATGTGGAGGTTTAAGTTTAGATCTATTATCGGAATCGAATTAACAACCCACACAGAATCCACCGCTTGAATAGGCTTGCTCTATGTTTGCAAAAATGTAAAAGTAACCAGCGACCTTTAATGTGTGTCTAATAAAGAACTGTAGCGTTTGAAACTGAGAAAAAAATTCCGCGTAGAATAAGTTCTAAGGGTGCCTCAGACAAACTTTGCACGCTCGCTCGCGTTTGAGTCATGATAGTCCCAGAGCGCTTATTCGGGAGCAACGCTTAATCCAATGAACACAGTTTACGTGTGCGAAAGGGATTGGAAATAAAGGGAACGCTTTTTTACCTTTTCCTGAGGTTTTTGTCACATTCGTTGCGGCCCATGTAAAAGTGGTTAGCTGAACTGCCACAAGCAACACCAAGGTGAAAGCAAAACCAAGAAAGTTCATCTTCACCGTATCGTCACAAAGGGGTACAACTATCCAAGCTTATCTCGACTGCTGTTGTGATCTCTTCACTATGTTCTGTTCTTCTCGGCTTTTAAGATTTTGTGATAGAATACATTACATAATCTATTTCGCCTCAGTTACAACAGAGGAATTCATGAAATCTTAATGGATCTCATGGTTCACTTTGTCTCAATTTTTTTTTGACATCCCATCTTGTCATCGTATAGAAAAAGTCTTTCTTTAAGGCTAAAAGGACTAGTTGAAACAAAAGATGTGAATACCTACAGGAAATAAAGTAGAGCTTTTAAAGTATCTTATTACATTTAGTCTGATTGAATAACCAGTTGATTTCGACTTTATTGCTGTGACCTTGGAAATTTTTTGTCCTAGTCAACCTGTTAGTTAATAAATACCTGTAAGGGAAATATTTTACAAAAATGTTTTAGCTTCTTCCCGTGAAAAAATTAGCAACCGAACATTTTCAGCCGACAAATAGGCCACTAAGTAATATGTTTTCATCCGAAATAGGGAGCTCTTGAACACTATATCCTTACTCCAACTACTTACAAAAAGCCTTACATATTTTCTGAATCTTAAATACCTCACGATTAAGGAATCAACGTATCTAAATCAAGGATTTTGTTGTTAGGTACTTTGTTGCTCATTTCGAATGTCTCGTGAGATTGTTTTGGTGAGCGTTCAAAAAATATGTTTACTCTGCCACGGTTAGCTGTCCCATACGGCCAAATATGCTTAAGATAGGGTATTTAAGAGCGTGTACCCAGGGTTGAATTATTAGAAGAGAGACAGAGTCTCAGAGAGTGAAATGAACCTCCTGAAAAGACTTCTGGTGCCTCCGTTTACGTGAGTTGCTCAAGCTAGTTAACCTAAACAGTCCAACACTCCGTTGGCGATGATTGACCCCCCCCTCCAGCTCCACCTGAAAACCATATGACCCAAATCTTTGGTCAAAATCTTGACTAAGTCATCTGCCATCCTCGCAAAAACCACCTAGGAATTCATGGCATCTTAATAGATCTCATGATTCACTTCCTCTCAATTTCTTTTGATATCCCATGTTGTCATGGTAAAGCTGAAAGGACTGCTTGAAACAAAAGATGTGCATTAAGGTAGTAGGGAAGATATCTTATGGCATCTTATTACACTCAGTCTAATTGAATAACCAATTGACTTCGACTGTGATGCTGGTGACCTTAGCAATTTTTTACCTTTATTAACCTGTAAATTGATAAATATCTTTCGTGGAAAGTTTTATACAAAGATGCTTCATTCTCTTTTATTTTCAATTGAAAAAGCAATCTACGTATTTCCTCAAACCCTCAAAAAGTGATTCCTTAAAACCTGTCACTGAGATATTCAATTTGTTAACAATTAATGAAGAAACGGTACTCGATTTTGTCATGATGGAAATTTAGGGCTAACAAGATTGCGTTAATGGTGGTTATTAAATTCTAAAACCTCATGTGCACGTTTTGTGGCTTTAAATGGTTGAAAAGAGAAATTGCAATGTTCCGCGGAAGACTTTTCTGATCAATTTGATACGATTGAAGAAAGTTTTCACAGAGGAATCTCTATCAGATAAAAGCTACTCGATAAGACTCGTTGATGAAAAACGAATTTTGCCTTAAGTCCTGACTAACACCCCAAGAACTTAGACTCTGTCATTTTGGTCTTGTCCTTTAGTAATTGCCAAGCATACAATGTTATCAAAAGACGAAAATTGAATCAGTTGCAGGCGTAAGCTAAATGAAAAGTTTGACAAACAGAATGACCAGTCTAGGAGTGATTCTCACTCTCTAAGTTTTATTTTTCAATCGAGTGCTCTTTGATTGCGTGTCGTTAAAGCAAAACAAAAGGAATCACAACAATCAATCAGAAGAAAGGAAAAGATCTTTACAAGCCGCTGCGAACTCGAGGTAAAAACAACCAAACTGCCTAAAGCGCGGGGAAACGCGGGCGGCCAAGTCATGATTGGTGTTACTTTTGCATCTAATTTGTTGAAAAAGTGACACGAGCTTTCTGGACCAATTACAGAACGAAGTAGAGTTAAACCGATGCAATCTTGGATTACTTTCGACCCTCAATTGAAAATTTCTCTAATGATAATGATAAGAACCCTAATTATGATATACGATGAAAAGAGCTCTGTCAACAAATAAACTTTCCTAACTAAATACATCGACATCTACAATTATAGATTTTAACTACAATTTTTAAAATAAATCGATCTACTAAATAGTTTCTAAATCTTAGTTACGTTTAAGATAATAAGGAAATATAGGTGATTTTCACCGTTTTTCTCTGACATTCACTACCAAATAAATTGCTCTTAAAATGTTAAAAACATTAAAACATTTCCTTTTCCAATGTCGAACAAGATGTTTTTTCCCAAACTAAAGAGGCTTATATTACCTGTTTAATTTTTTTTTTGATGTAAGAAGTGGCAAAAATTCTTCTTTCGTTAAAAAACAGAGTAGCGCCACAGGCTAGTCTTAAAATTAAGCAAAATGTTCTTTCGACTGTTGAATGATATTAGCTACTAGTTACGGTCAAATGAAGAACTTGCGCTATATTTTTTTTCTCTTATAACTAATTCACGTTGAAGTACCAGCCTGTGAGAAGCAAAGGATTTGTTTCGTCAATTTCTAGCTTATAATATGTTCCACTTGCTCTGCACATCAGTCTCTTATGAAACCTATAATAATAATTTTGACATTCTAGGTCTAGGGAGAAATGAATATTGAACCCTCTTCTCTAATAATTCATAATCCTTGTGGAATTCGCTGTTTTCAAACTAAGTTTGCTTTTTATCTCGCAAAGACTTTGATATAAGGGCAAATTCAATTCTTCTGGCGAACACTGTAAAACTAACATATTTCTTTAAAATAGATACATATAACTAGTTCCCACGATACAAAAACTCATTACAGAGCCAGCGGATTTTAAAGAAATATGTTGATAAGCGCTAACCCAAAGTTAAATTTTAATCTAGGTTTCTTTATTCCTTTATTCAGAAGCCTTTTTAGGATAATTTTCTGTGTTCTTATAAGAGCATCAAAGAGCCACATTCTAGAAAAAAAGAAATTCGACTGAATTTGATTCTAAAGCTTTCAGATCTAAATCAGGTTTGACGCTAACCCGGGGTTATCTTAACCCAGCTTTAAACAACCCGGCCTTGGCGAACACTGTAAAACTAATACATTTCTTTAGAATTCGCAGGCAAGTAATGATTTTTTGTATCGTGGTAAACTAGTTATATTTTAGTGTTGTAATTAATTATGATACTGATACACCGTAATACAAATGGTACGCAATTTCCAAGACAAGGAGTATTTTAAATCCCTCATCGATAGATACTTGAAAAAAATATCAATTTTTGCTTCAGTAGCTCACAGCCACTTTGAAAATAATTCTCTGCGAAAATCCGTTATCAATGAAAGAAAAAAAAACCCTACTCACACTTTGTAATAAAAAATAGCTTGATTCCTTCCCCTTGTAAAAACTCTTGGATAGTTTTGGTTAGCATCAGGATTGCGCTTAAAAATTTTAATCGTATATGTGTATGATTCAGTAGAAAGATATTGAATCCTTTGACTCCTTGCTCGTGTTTTAGCAAATGAAATAAATCATCTTTGTCTAGCCCACGAGCAGGTCGTCATTGTTAAGGCTTTGGCACAAGCGTTCGGGTGGCCCAGAGAAAGGCGAGAAGTCGGCAAGAGGTCTGGTACGAGGAATTATAAGTGCCAGACCCCTTGCAGACTCCTCCCTGGCTCGCTTTTCTCAACGCTTCAATACTTGACTCGGGCAAAAAAATGCTTGTGCTTAAGCGCAAATAAATATATTTGATTAGACGTTTTGGTGTTTAGTATCACAGAGTAATTTGGTGTATAGCATCGCTTGGTATTTTACGAGTTATGCCGTATTTTATCGAGCCCGTAGGGCGAGTTAAATCACAAACCACGAGTAACGATACTCAGCGATACAACACACCAAAACGCCTAATAAGTTATTTATTATTCAACTGCTTTTTGTTCTGCCAAGTTTTTCTGCTCATTTCTTATATGGCAGGAAAAGCAAAGTGAATAGAGAAGCGTCTTTTTGCAGTACAAAATAACCAACTGTCCAAATGACCGTACAATATCGCAAGATATTTGTACTTTACTTTGTGCTGTTGGATAATAATAAGGGCTTACTCGCATGCTATCTATTGTCTGATATCAGTCATCAAGGACATTGAGTGTTAGGTGAAGATATAGCGCTTTTTGTGTATATAGATTTAACCTCTTGTGATTAAAATCCGTTGGTTTCTGATAGCTGAAAAAAAAAAGAAACCCTGCAGTTTAAGACCGTGAAAAAGCAGTATCAGGATAACAATAACAGCAGACGGACACACAACATTTAGACAGACAGACATTAAGATAGTCAGAAAGTCAATCAAATATATAGCGGTTTTTGTGTATATAGATTTAACCTCTTGCGATTAAAATTCGTTGGTTTCTGATAGCTGAAAAAAAAAAAAAAAAGAAACCCTGCAGTCTAAGACTGTGAGAAAGCAGTGTCAGGATAACAGCAGACAGACACACAAACATTCAGACAGATAGACAGACATTGAGATAGTCAGAAAGTCAATCAAATAAACATGGCGAAAATCAGTTGGTCAGAAAGATAGACATTCAGATAAAGAGGAAATCATTGACCGTCAGATGGTCAGAAAGTCGGTCAGATAGAGAACTAAGCAGTCAGCCGTTAAGGCAGACAGACAAACAGACGGACAGACAAACTGACAGGCAGACAGACGGATAGACAGACATACAGACAAATAGTTACACAGTCAATAAAAGGTAAGCGCAGGGTTTTCAATGAAAGCCAGTTACCCTCGATCTACCGCCGCCTTAATCAGACCTCTCACCGCTCTCGTGTTTGAGTTTTGCTGTACGCCCCCTTTTCCGGGCTTAGCCGCCTCTTCAGGCACCGTCGGCAGCCGCTTATGGCAAATGCTTTTGAAATCCCTGTCAGTGTCCAGCCCAAGAACATAAGACAGTATTCCGGAATTAGGCTCTGACCCAGACCCTTTTAATATGACCTCAAGGCCACCGCTTATGTCTGTACAAACACTTTAGTCAATTTTGATTGGTAAGATTGCTTATATCATGAAAGCGTCCCTGATGCAGTTAACAAATAGTCGTATTTACTTACAGTTCGATACAGGCAGGACCAGGTTTAAACTCGTCCTGTTCCATGAAAGCAAAACACCTTGTGCTCACAATATCCTTTTTCGGTTTGTAATGTTTAAACTCGAAGAATATTGCGGTACCTGTATTGTGAAAACAATGAGAAGTCTTAACACGTTTTAACTGCCCAGTAACTAACAAGTGATTCTCTGTTAGTGGTCACTGTACATTTTAACTTGAAAAAATTTCAGGAGAATTTTGGCTTTATTAAGGCCTATTTACACGGCACGACTTTGTCGTATGCAACATTAGCTTACGACAGGCCTACGACATGACTTAAGAGTCGTAAGCGAGTTGTAGGTTTGATTTACACGAAACAATTCGTGTCGTAAGCCTGTCGTAAGCTTGTCGCATGCGACAAAGTCGTACCGTGTAAATAGGCCCTTAGAGGGTAACATCTTCCTCCTGAGAACTTTGTTTTATCACCTGCTCGATTAACATGGCAAGGAGAAGTTTTACACTATTTTTTAACTTCCGGGAAGTTAAAACAGATAAGGTTGGATTTGTCAGAATAAATCAAACATGTACAGAGTGAGAACCATGTAAGACAAATTGAAGGGATGTACGGAAAAAGCTCCTTATTGTGACTTCTGATTGACTACACAATTTTCCTTTCAAATTTCCCTGTGTTCCCTTGTGAAACAGTGGGGAGAAGAAGATGCTGCATCACAGCCTTTTTTCTGTGTTCCCTTTCAATACTGACCATTCAAAAAAAAAAAGTTTGGTCAGAACAGAGCTTTTAATTTCAAATCAACAAACTGTACTGGCTTGGTACTCATTGAATTTGTTAGAAATGAATCAAACTTCCTCTTCTGAAATCTTATTTAGCTGTGATTGGTGGAATTCTCTCCTTTTTTTTTTAAGAGTTCTCCCTTTTACAATGTTTTTTTTGACAAAGAGCCAAATAGACACATGGGATTTCAAAATAAAAAATACAACAACTCTAACCTCTTGGAAGTTTCTCTATAGGCTTTTGAATTTCTACATCAGTGTCAAAGTTGATAAACTTTCCATTAACTCTGTTTGAAGTGGGTGTATCTTGAGCTGGGGTGACATTCACACCATTGGCATCTGTAGAGAGAAAACACTCAATAGTTCAATATAAATTTTGCTGCAGTTATTTGTTAGCTCTTTACACCCTAAATATCAGTATGCATATTCTCCATACTGTTCTCCTTACATTTCCTAAGGTGCTGGTAAGGAGAATGTACCTAACAATCAAGAACTTCTTTTGTTGGTGATCATTTTGTTTATTCTTGTGACCCTATGTGTGTTTTAGGGATGAAATTGAGAGGAGAAATTACATGCTCATGGTGACTCTTAGGGGTTAAAGGAATTAGTTAACATCCCCTCCACCTTGGCATTATAATAATCATTGATCATTACCTTTCACAGAAACAGAAAAAAATGGATTAATGTACACATGGGCATCCTTCAGTCCAATCTGGTTGATTCTTACAACAAGTCGATGATATCCTTCTTCGAATGGGATACGCGGCAACAAAGACCCTCCTTCAGCTTAAAAAACAAGAAAAAAGATGAACATCATTATATGACAGAGAGAAAATACAACAAAAACAAAAAAATGTATGACATATGTAAGATTAATATCTGAAAAAGGGTTGTGGTTGTTTAACATGCTAAATACATGACCAGATTATTTCAACTGAGTACTGTTACTGATAGTTCTCTTCTGTAAGTTTCTAGAACTCTTTCATAAATGGTGTGCTACACTGCTGTTTTTATTGCATTTCTGTAAACTAGCCTTTTCAATCAGTTGGTATAAGCATGTTTTAAAAACAATTGCAATATCAGGAATTTTCATTCAATCAAAAGCACATTAATTTTCAAGGGCATAGAAGAGTATTGATCATGCCCAACTCTAATTTTGAGGTAACTATCGCCCTATCTGAAAATGGGATCCTGGGCAGTATAAGTAATCTGTGTCACACACTGAACTGTATGATTACTGATAGAAAAGACACCAGACATAGTGATGTTCTATGACAGAGTACACTGGTGTACTCAAGTAATAACTTGAATGCCTATAAGATCTTAAAGTGTGTTCATGCATTAAAAAAGGAAAGAACTCACCAACTGAAGAAACATGCTCAGTTCCATTTTCATCTCCATATTCTGTTACATCAGTATCACTAACAAAATTTATAAAAATATCATATACTCAATAATAATTAAATGAACAATTAAATAGGTAGGAATTTGCATTTTCAGTCAGCTTTTAAAAATTTTTGAGGCTATACAGAACAGAAAAAAAAGTTGTAGGCTTTCCATCCTTCAGATAGCAGTAATGTTTGAGAGACAATTTACATCAGAAACCAAAAAATGACCCTGAATGAAGAAAGAGTAATGTTTGAGAGACAATTTACATCAGAAAAAAAAAACCATGTAGTGGTGAACAGATACAGAGATATTATAACCATTGTAACTAACAGATTCTACGTTATTAAAACGTTAGTTAGTTAGCGTTTACTAGTTAGCGTTTTTCTGTTCAGTATTAGATCAGAAAACGCGTCAAAATGTATTAAGAACATCAATGACATACTCGGCTGCACCTAGTGTGTCACTTTTGCGCTTTCATTGCATTTTGACTTACAGGTGATCTGCTATTTTAATCCTACATACATTTTTATCTGTTCTTATGTATTACCTGTAGGATAGACGCATGTAGGTGACGTCACCATAGACAACATTTTGCTTTTTTAAAATAAATAGACTCTATGTTGTGGTGGGTCTGTACAGTAATACTTGAGTAATAGATCACAGAGGACGTCAACTATGTGGTAAAAACATCAGACACAATTACAATTGTCTGTGATTCATTACTGAACGAGCCAACAGCAACATGGTATCTTAAATAAGTAAATAGTGTCTGGATAGATTAGTTATCGGCTGTGCACCTCCAAGGTAACAATCCCGAGAGACAAGAGCGAATAAATTTACCGATTGACAAAGATAAGAAGCATTTCCTAAACGTTTCTGCTTGAATTTTATGGCAATTAGAAATAAACACGCATAGGCAATTTTGAGGCAATTCCCTGCCCCTGATAAATGAAACTTGTAACATTAAACTTTAAAATTTGAAATATAAACTTCACCTTCTCGTAAGATCCCTTGCATGAAGACCCAACGCATAGTTCCGTGGCAACTCAAGATTTTCGATATGATTTCCCGCTAAAATTCAAGATAAAGCACGCGCGCATTGAGTCATGGGAGAGAAAAATTGTTCCCAGGAATTCCCGGGCACCGAGAGTGAACTGTTATTTCACAGCGCTCTGCGATCGATACAATGATCCATTTGTATAATTTGCAAATCGAAAATACACTGAGACCGAAGCGCCGTTGTCTTTTGACATTTAGAATTTTTCGAGGCGCAATTTCGCCTCGCATGGCGCGCCTCTGAGCTCTATGTCGTTACGGCGTTCTGTCGATGGCCTTGTGATTGTTATTTGTCGTTTCATCCTCTTTCGTTATATCAAACACGGGCAATTTAGTCAAAGGTTACCACAGAGACTGATCATAGTATAAACCATCCTATATTAGGGCACTCGCGGTCACACCACTTTGAATTAATTCTACAGCAACAATCGATCGCTTAATCAACATGATTGCTCTTTCCTCGCCTCGAGGTGATGATAAGTAGAATGCAGGCTCAGGGAGCCACAAAGGGCACGAGCGCGCACGGGAACGGAAGTGAGCGGCTGAGTGCTGTAGCACGAGGGTTGGATACTTCTCGTAAACTCTGAATTCTACAGATCTGCAACCTTGGTATCGAAGGTAATGAATATTGGAAAGATTTTCGTGTAGCCCGATTAGCCTTTGTAGAAATGGTTATCAATGTTTATTTCAATCGAAGAACTGTATTCATATTTAATGAAGAATGGAAAGAAAAGTGGTAAGGAAATCTTGCCCGATTCATTATTTCCGGCTCATCCCTACAGGTCATAAGGCTGCCACGAGTAGCATCTGTACTTCCTGCTGGAATCAATATTTTCAATTCAGTTCCGACGTTGAGTTCGACGGTATCGAATATTTTTGGTGTCTGTGGCAGCCTTTCCTTTGAGTCGCAGTCCGGGTTAGAATCGTAGTTTCAAAATGGTGGTCTCTAGGGAGGTTTTTGGCCAAACAGAATCAGGAGAGGATGTTTGGAAATACACTATCAGAAACAAACACGGACTGGAACTGGAAGTGATCTCGTTCGGAGCGACTTTCGTAGCATTAAGATGCCCTGATAGGTAAACTTGGGTTTGTTCTTGAAATTTTCGTGATACGTTATATATTGCATATTGAGTTTGTTTGCCTTTTGATTTAGTGGCAAGGATCGAGGGTGAGTGGTAGAAAGTAAACAGAATATTCTATAAAACTTTATTCGTACACGTTGCACAACTCATGGACAGACTTTTATTACGAGGTTTTCCGGTGCTTGACACAGCATCCGACTACCTGTAATGTACAACCAGACAGCCGAGCATTTCGCAAATGTACGACCAACTGTCGTTATCATTATCTTAACCTTACAAACACTTTTTTTACCATTACTTTTATATATAATTATTATTCAGTAAAGTGGGGGTAATTATCAACTAATTAGCTTAACCCCTTACACCCAAACAGCAGTATTTATATTCTTCGTACTGACCATTTCCTAAGGTGCTGACATGGAGACTTGTTTTACAATCAAAAGCCTCTTGAGTTGGTGATCGTTTCCTCCATTCTCGTGACATTAATGATTAATTCAGGGAAGATTTTAGAAGTAGAAATTAGATGCTAGCCCTCTTTCGAATTAAGCTAAATTTTTAGATAAGGGCCTAGGCACTTATTTATAAAGAAATATGGTTTTAAACCCCTAGCTTACAACTTTTTTTTTTTAACTCAATCAGGAATGGAAAAATGGATGATGTCATTATGGGCTATGATAAGTTGGAGGGTAAGTGCTTGTAATATCTAATCTTTGTAATCTCCATCACTGAGAAGTCTATGTAAGAATTTACAGGGTTGTCATATGAGAATGTAAAAGATACACTGATGAGCTGAACTGAGGAGGTGGCTGAATTGAATTATGCGTGTAAGTAAAAGCAAGCATAGCACGTGGCTGTGTGTAACTGACCCTTCTAGTGGGTGTGTGGGCTTGTTCCCCTGGAAAAATTTGAAATTTGAAACTCTCTGAGACATGTTATCTAGCACTCTGGGACACTTGAGTAACTCTTTAAGCCATAGAAATTTGATGTTAGAATAAAAAATATTATTTCCTAATTTTGATCACAATTCACAAAGTAACCAAGCATAAAATGTTCTGATAGCAGGGGGGGGGGGGGGGGGGTTCCATCAGCTACTGGCTTTTTATGGCAACTTTGGCAATAGTTATTGATGGAGTTTAAATTGAACTTCTTAGGTGTACTTTTCTAGAATTAATTGCATTTGGGCTATAATGTGTCAACAATTGTGTTGCTGATTGTGCATGGCAATGGACATTTTGTTTGTGAAACTTTAATTGCGATCATTCATATTTCCTTTTTTATTCAGACTATCTGAGTAACCCTCATTACCTCGGAGCTACAGTTGGAAGAGTTGCAAACAGGATTGCAAATGCAAAGTTCACCCTTGATAACAAAGAATACAATTTAGCCGTCAATAATCCTCCAAATACTCTACATGGAGGATGGGTTGGATTCAACAAGGTCTGCTTTGTGCTAAATATGATGATGCTTATAGATAAAGAACTGTATTTCTCTCAAGAGTCTTTTAGTTTGTGTGAGTTAAAAATTGCTCTGACTGTCATTGTTGTCTCTGTTTTCGTGTTCATCAGCATAATTGGAAAAGTGAAGTAAAAGGAGAAAACAAAGTGAAGTTTGTTCACCAAAGTCCAGATGGGGATGAAAATTTTCCTGGAGATGTAACAGTAAGACTCACATTCACACTTACTGATCACAATGAAGTTAAACTCAACTACAAAGCAACAACCAAGGCTCCCACCATCATCAATCTCACCAGCCATGGCTACTTTAACTTGGCTGGTCAGGTACAAGCTTTTTAACTCTTCATACACCAACATTAGTATGCTTTTTCTCCTTACTGTTCTGTATACATTTTTAATGGTGTTGACAAGGAGAATTTGTTGAAAAATCAAGATTTTCTTAACCAAACAGTTTTAAACGATACTTAAGTCACAAATTTGTTAAATTTGTTTGATATTGTAAAATTATTCTTGTTTTATTGATTGTCTGAAGTTCTTTGTCAGATTGACCATGATGTTTTGGATCACATAGCTCAGATCCATGCTAAACACTATCTGCCCCTAAATGATGTGCAGATTCCCACAGGTACACACAGTCTAAAATTTTCAGTTTGTGTACATGTATGGTGTAGTTCCATGTAAAGATATGGCCCTTCTTAGGCTGTAGTGCAGAGGCCTGTTATCTTTCAATTTGTATATCTTTTTCCTTCTGTTACATCTGTGCTCTTTAACTAACAGTGATTATTATATATTCTAGGTGAGGAATGCTCTGTGTCAAGCCCAAATGATGCCTTTGACTTCACCAAACCCAAACCTATTGGAAAGGACATTCATAAAATAGATGGCTATGATCACAACTACTGTTTAAAAGGAAAAAAAGAATGCTGCGCTGAGTAAGGAGATTAGATTTAATTTATCTACAAATAAGTTAATTTAAATTATCGTATTTAGACAGAGCTTCTGTCAATTTGAAGCCTCAGAAAGCTGATAGGAACTTTGGGGAGTTCTGAATTCCACAACATTGCAAAAAAAATATTGAAAAACACCACATCAGTACACAAGAAATTGACAATTCAACACATTCAGACACTGCAATATCATGGACACCCACACATGATCGATATGTCCAATTAGTTACACAACTGAGCATATTACAAAGCCCTACAAAGAGCATGAACTGTGGGTAAATTGAGGTTAGCACTGATTGTGCATGGCTATGGGGTCCTTTTTACAAAGACTGCAACACTGCAATTCACCAGCTTGAGAGCTCCCTCCAAAGAGAGAATTAAACATTATCAGAAACTGAACATGGTGAATATCAAAGACAGCAATACAAATTTAAATAAACCTTTTAAATTTACCATGGAGTATACCAATAATCAAGTCCATGGTAATGATCTTGCAGAGTGTATCATCCAAGCAGTGGGCGTGTTCTTAAAATGTTCACCGATCAGCCTGGAGTTCAATTTTACACTGCCAATGGATTTGATGGATTCTCTGGCAAGGGAGGTGTTCTTTACCATAAGTTTGGTGCCTTCTGCCTAGAGGCGCAGAATTACCCTGACGCTGTTAACCAAGTTAGTTTTGTGTTTGTTTGTATCCAATAGTAATTTGTAACCAACATCAAACCTCAAGCCTATAAAGTCCCCGTGAAAAGTCTTCAAGTGTTTCTGTAATGGAGGGATATTTCAGTTGTATTATTTCAGTAGTATAACAATTTATGTGTTTTCATTTGCTTGAATGTTTATTTTTTGGTCAACAGTCTAACTTCCCAAGTCCAGTTCTTCGGCCAGGGGAAACTTACAAACAGAAAACCATCTACAAATTTGATGTCAAAGACAAGCAGTGAGCCCTGTCATAATTAGATTAACAATTCACTATTAATATCTAGAGTAGGGTATTGAAATAATTGGCAAAAGCTTTAGGAAGCTAAGGGATAGGCTCAAATTAGAATGGACCTTAACTCTAAGAGGTGAAGTTCATAAATTTGTTATTTCCTCTTCAAGAGGTCCTTGGTTATTCATCAGTGTATTATGGGTCAGTCAATTTGAAGCCAAACCCCTCCCCCTTCCAGGCAAGGTCAAATTCCCAACCCTTCAGGCACAGATGAGGGTCAAATACCCATGGGTTGCCAGGGTAAGGGGGGATGTTGAAGCTTGAAATTGATTGGCCTATTATTGTGGTAGTGCAGAATGGAAGTCAAAATTTAAAATCACAAGTGCTTTTTTCCAAATCAGAGTAATATACTTAATAGATAAACTGAGGTATTTACAAGTGCTAAGTCCATAGTGTGTGTAAAGAGTTATTGTGGGTAGCAAAAACACAATTCAGATGCAGACGTATTAAATACTCATCTACAATGTTGTTAAACAAAAAATTTTTATTCAATAAAAATACAACAATGCATGACTAATCTTTTTAATGGATAATGCTGTTTTATATATTTTCCACTCAATCAACTTTCCCCCCCCCCTTCCTATAGTTTTTGCTTTACTTTGGGAAATTCTCTATCCATTATAGAAAAAGCCATACTTAAACCTTGCAGTTCTTGCTCTGTATACATAGAAAGGCCGTTAGTGAGCAGTGATTTCTCTATCGCATCAAATACTGATGCTGCTTCATAGCTACATGTAGAGAAACCTGAGGCCAATTGAGGAATGAGCTCAGGTTTATTTTGAGGCATGTTTCTATCCAAAACTTCTCTTTTCAACTGCTTAAGAGGCTCTTGGATATCTACTGATACCTGAACACATCCATTTAATATCATACACAGTTCCTCATCAGAGTAAACAGTAGCATGTGATAATATGTCACTCACTGCTTTTGTTAAAAATTCTGATCTTAAAAGTGTTGATTTTCCAAATGCCCAAACTAACTGAGTAAACTGCTCAGCTTTTAGCATACTTAAATCCCTTGAAATCAATACCTTTTGGCTGTTAAGAAAAAGCTCAGTACTTGTATGACCGGACATTGCAAATGACCATAAAAGACATGACAATTCTTGGTTTCCAAACTCTGCAAAACCTCTTAAGTAGAGTTCTTCTTCTATGACATCAAAGATCTCTAGGGCATCTGGGCACCTTTTGGCAAATGCCCATGCTAACATTGAGAGATCATCTGCATCAAAATCATGAACACCTCTCCGTATTAATTCAGGACTTAAACTAGCAAAAAGATCATGCCCTTCTCTCCCTTCAAATCCAGCTCTTGCAAAGGACCATAACAGCATCTTGAGGCAATGAGCACTGAGATCTCTAACTGGTCTTTGCAAAATTTCCTCTTCTGTAATTGAAAACAGTTTATCACATGGTACAATTCCTTTCTGGGTGAATGACCATAAAAACTGAGCAAGCTGGTCATTGCTAAATTCTCTCACACCTCTCAACAAAATCTCTTCTTGGAACTTTTCTAATAGTTCTTTACTCTCATTTCCAGTTTTGGTAAAAGACCACAGAACACCAGCCAGTCCACGATTTTCAAATTTCGCCATCTTAAGCTGCCCATCCAGAATTCTTTGTTCAACAATTCCAAAGAACTTGGATCTTTTCAAGTCAAGTGAAGCAAAACCAATAAGAATCTTACACACTGCTGGTGTCCGAAATGAGGTCTGATCTCGCCGAAGTATTTCATTCTCGCATTCTGTAACAAACCATGCATCATGCTCCCTTAGTTTTCCTAATGACCATACAATAGTCGCAAGATCACGAGTCTTGCATGTCTCAAGATCATTTCCAATATTGTTCAACAAGGTGATAAAAATTTCCATTTCATCATTTAGAACTTTTCTTGTAGAGAAGAAGTTTTTCTTTGGTCCACTGGCAGCCACCTTGGCCAAATGATGCAGAATTGTTATGCGATTCATTTGAGTCATGGCAGGTGAGTCCTTAAATCTGTCATACAAGTAAAGATATTCACTGGCAGACTTGACGGCTGAAATATCCTTAGCCAGGGTCTTCACAGAAACAGACTTGAAAGCGCATAGGACTGATGGTAAGCCAAGGCTTATCCTTTTACACCTGATCCAGTTTTGTTGTGGTTTAACAGGTGATGCAAGAACACTTTTTGTTAAACCCCTGGCTTGTATAAAAGGCAATGATGAACAGCAATTCTTGGAAAGTCCTACAAGTCTAACTTGCACAAGAAATTTTCTCATAAAACCCATTGAATTAAATTGGTTCATAATATGACCTTTTTTGTCTCAACTTGATTATGGAGAGCAGCTCATTAACCACAACAGAAGAACCTAAGAGAATGAAAAGAAAAAATTATGCTATCAGACATGGTTACACTAGTTTATTATCAAGAACCTCAACCTATGGCTCCTTTTCACCCTAACATAAGTATTCATATTCCCCAAACTGTTCTCTTCACATTTCTTATGGTACTGACAAAGAGAATTTGTTTTACAATCAGGAGCTTCTTCACCAGGTTATCATTTCCTTTATTCTCACAACCTTTACATCTGCTTCTAGGAAGATAATGTAAGGAGAAATTAGAAGCCAGTCACACTGTTCTCTTCACACTATTCTCTTTACATTTCCTATGGTACAGACAGAATGTGTTTTTTTATGATTGGGAGCTCTTTAAATTGGTGATCATTTTCTTTATTCTTGTGACTTTTAAATTTGCTTCAAGGAAGATAGTGTAAGGGGAAATTAGAAGTAAGTCACTGTTCTCTTTACATTTCCTATGGTAGGGAAAATTTAATGAAAATCTGTTTGACAATCAGGAGTTTCTTAAATTTGTGATCATTTCCTTGACTCTCTTGACCTTTACGTTTGCTTCAAGGAAGATAATGTAAGGAGAAATTGGAAGCCAGTCACATGTAGGGGTTAAGGGATTAGGAGCAGACAATATTTTAAAGCCAGAGGTTTCAAAGGACTGAATGGAGTTGAGATAGTATTTTTCGAGGTACTGAGAGAAAGTGAAGGGGGGGGGGGGGGGGGGGGGGGGTTTATCTTAACTGAGAGGGTGAAGACACAAAAACCAAAGCATTATACTCGTTGGGGTGGGGTGGGAGGGAAAGGGTGTTTTCTCAAAACAACACAAATATTATTAGTAAAGTTCCCATGCACCACGGTAAAAAAAAAAATGCCTGAGATCGAGGCGCAAAAAAACCGTACTCGGCCAATTTTCAGTTCAGACTAAAAAGCTGAATAATTTTAACATACAATTCGATGGAAAAAAGAGAGAGTAGATGGAATTCTTTGAGCGGTCGACATTTAGTTTGCAAAAGATACTTACAAAACATTTGTCCAAAGTATCTAGAATTCCTCCTTCATGTTGAAGTATAATTATTTCGTCCGCGTGCGTGTTTCGTGAGACAGGCAAACTAATAGCGCCCGCGGTACAAAAGTGTTCGGAAGTTACGTCATGTAACGAATCATGTACATTTGCTGACAGTCTCTTGCGCTTGATGGCCAATATCTGAAAATCACCTGCAAAAAAATGGATCTGCAAACTACCTAGACGAAAGTATGACTGAAAAGTCCAGAACAATAAACCAGTGGTATGTCTCTTTTGAGAAAGGAAAGGATTTTGATTCTTGGGGCCAGCTGGTGGAAGCCGCCGAGGAGTATTCAAGGTACCACATAAGAACGATATGTCTGTTTTATTTGCTTTCCTCTTTTATATGCAGTACACACATTTTGCTCCGTAATTCACAGCGATCTCATAGGAAGCAACGACGCCTATCTAAGCTACTTTATGGCTAGCTTCGTTAGTGGATTTTGGCCTGGATAGGTAGAATATTTAAGGTCATTTAGTGTTGCATGAAACGGTACTGTTTCGATTCTTGTTTGCGGAATAAATTTAAGCCCTCAGAATTTGAAAGTGGCTTAATTTTTCCAGAAAACATTTTTAATTTTTTAGTTAAGATTCTGGTTTAGTCTTTTTTTAACCATTTTCAGTATAAATGGTTGAAACTACCCAAGAAATTTCCGAAGAGAAGATGATCATAGTTTACTGTGTGTATATTTTTCACGACTAAAAAAGAACCTAGACTGTGTATTATGATAAGCTTGTGAAGATTGGTAACAGCTATCTAGGAATGGTTTAACATAAACTTGTCGAAAGAAATACGGTAGCAACAGCGCGAGTCTGTGTAGAAATAATCGTTTTTAGATATGTTCAGGGTGATAAATGTTTAGAATGTTCAAATTTGGATATATAATATGTATATTAAACGTAAGTGTTTCATTTTAAGCAATAAGCTCTGCTCCAGTTTAATCATATTTTACTGCTCTAGCAGGTGAATTTTTGTTATAAATAAATTTCAATTGTCTTTCTCTTGAAATACTTTGTAAACATTCTCTTTTGTCATTTTTAATTAATTTTTTTGCATGGCCTCAGGCCTGCCTAAGTCATATACAAATCTATGTCACCTAATATTTAATTTTCACAATTTTAATTTTTTTTTGTTTTTTACACTTGGGGAGAATTTAAAATGACTAGCCACTGACTATGTACTGTTAAATCTGTATATATATGATATACCTATCTATTAATTTTTGATAAAAATGATAATTTGGTGGACATTTATTAAATTAACCCTTTAATTCCCAAGATCTGATTATTAATTCTCCCCTCTAACTGCTACAGATTTCCTTGTAAGTTAGTTACAAGATTTTAATATTAGATCAAGAGTTAACATCTAGCTGATAAGTTTGAGTATTGTCATTACCTGTTTGCTGAGTAATATATGGAATGTATTACAGGGAGAACAGTGTTCTCCCTTATTTTAAGCATGACAGATAAAATAAATTTTCAAACCATTAAAGGAATCCTTTTACCTGTTGAATTTTCAAGAATTCCAAGCAATTTTAAATGGTAATAAGAGATACTACAGGCAGTAAATTTTGTTGGTTACCGCCTGAAAAGAAAAACACTGGAAGAAGTTACTTGTCAATCAACTCTGAGAGTTGAAGGATTAAAATTTTTCTTGATAATCTGCCCACAATATTTACTAATGAGCTTATTTAGAATTTTTGAATCTGATTCTTTTTGCTTTTCTCTATCTTTAACCTTCCTTAATGAAATTCTTGTAGATGACCACTGATTAATAAAGAAAGTTGTTTTGTCTAGACTCGCTAGAGACTTGAAAAAACATTGTGCTCTGGGAAACAAGATGTTTCAAGAGGAACAGAAGGTTTGTGGAGACAGAGTTAAAACTTTCATTATTGTGTATAAATCAATGTCTGAAGTAAAATATATTAATTGACCACATCAATCTTGAAACAGACACACCCCTGACTTGCCATATTGCCAAAACACTGAGTTGCGTATGCCACTAAGTAATATTTAATGTAGTTCATACATTCATTAAGTAGAGAGATTCTTTTGGCTATCTATTCATTAGACACACAAGTAAAAGGGGTAAGTTTCTAAGGAAAATGTAGTGCTGCATTAGTGTGAGAGTATTCAGTCTAATTTGGTTCTATTAACTGAGTTGATAAAAATGTAAATTGGCTACAGTAAAGAGTTTAAAAGCTGACATTTCAAGCATTAGCCCTTCATCAGAGCCCTTCATCCAATGCTCAAAATGTCAGCTTTTTCAAATTCTTTACGTGGGCTGATTTACATTATCAACTCAGTTGATATTACACCAAATTACCCTTTAGAAACGTACCCCCTTTATTAGACACACTTCAGTGCTTTCAAATGAATGTAAACACTTGAAAGGGTTTGACCATTGCAGAAAAATAACATTTGCAGATTGAGGGCCAAGTAGATTTGGTCCATTTGCTCCATTTACTGCTCAAGAATTAAAGATAGACATAGCCATTTACATGATTTTTACTTTAATTTTTATTGATAACAAAGTAAATGTAATGTTTGTTCTATAGAAACTGATGCTTAAAATGTCAGCCTGTTTTGAGAAGAGAAGCAAAATATTACTATCCACTCAGGTGAATTTGACTGTGATCATGTTTGGTTTGATAATATTACGAGGTTTTTTCTTGCATGAGGAAAAATTTCGGTGAAATTCATTTAGACCATGAGTTCTGTTATGTACTGTAAATGGTTATTGAGAAGAGAGTGTGCAATTTTGTGTATCAGTTTTATAAGACACCCTCAGTTTCTATTATTTAGGAAGGAGATTGCTCATCAATAGTGCATCAATTTAGCATAACCTTGGCACCATATCTTTGAAACACATTTACTATAATAAGCTTAATACTTAACAATTATTCCATGAGCGCTGTTGGATATTAAATGGTGAATAGTAAATCTTGTTTCCAACAAGCACGAATAGAATAATTGTTTTATTATGAACACTAGCTATGGGAGCTTAATGAATTTGTTTTAATGCTAAGATTAAGAAATACTTGTGTGTATTAGTTTCTATGTAAGGTGATTGGGTATATGAGTTCCATTTTACTGGAGTTAAATGAGCCAATCAGAGCATTAGAAATTCAATAACCAGAGTTGAAAATTTAATGACAATGCATGATTATTATAATCATATACACTAAAATTTGAAAGTAAATCAACTGGTTAATTTTAATCAATAATTGATGTAGTCTTGAAATGTTTAAAGTTCATCTTCTTAATTGTCTATTATTACTTTTTATTTTGATTTACAATAAGGCTAGAGATGATGAGATCTCATTTGATGATATCAAGAAAGTTGGTGAAGGTGAGTGTGCATTGTTTGTTACTATGCTGTCATTGCTCCCTGCATAATTGTACAGTATATGTTTCAATAATCCATTTTACAGTTGAGTGCTAGGTTGCCATTAGCCTTCAAACAGGAGTGAGGCAGTAAGTGTGACCTTGTTATGACACATTCATTGCTGCTTTTTAAATGTAAATTACTTTGTTATCAGTTGCTAACTAGATACTGGTCTCTATCACAACAAGGTCACCTTCAGCCTCACTTTAGATCAAAGGCTCAGCAACTAACATAAACAACTGTAAAATGGCTTGTAATGGCCTGAGTACCTGATAACTCCAGACATATTCATATTTAGAAACAATTGATACAACCTCTTTGAGGGAGACAGTAGTGTAATGATTAAGTGCCCTCCAATATTCTTATAACAACCTCTCAACTTTCAGCGCAACAAAAATTGTCCCAATGATATTCCTAGCTATTCCTAAGCCAGCTTCATCACAATATTTCTATTAACTGGTTTGTCTTTTGAAAATATTTCTTATTTTACAACAGTTTTAACTGCAGATTACCATATATCAACTCTTTTTGCACAGTGTTGAGAAACTTAAATGTAGGTTGGAATGGTCCTTTTCCAGTCAGGATCGAAGAGCCTAAAACAAGGTTAGTCATAATTTAGATCAATAAGTAAGTTTTAGGTTGTTATTTTTATAACTGGTGGGGCCAGCAAGGAATAAAATTAAAAATTTCAAGCTGATTGAATAGATGATCTTGGTTAGCTCATCAAATTTTTGGCACCACACATACAGGAAGGAAATTTTTTATAGTCCATTTTGCAGTTGCATGCTTGGTTGCCAAGCCTTTGAACAGGAGTGAGGCTAAGGGTGACCTTGTTATGATACAAACATTGCTGCTTTGTAAATTACTTTGTTATCATGCTAATTAGATACTGGTCTCTATCACAACAAGGTCACTTTCAGCCTCACTCCGAATCAAAGGCTTGGCAACTAAATGCATTACTGTAAAATGGCCAATTAAACTTTTGCCTCTTCTAAAATAAAGATCACCAAATTGATCAGGTCTTCAGTGACATGTGACTTGATGGGTCCTGTCCAGATCATTGGCAAGTTGAACCTTTCCTTGGTTCTTTCTTCATTCAGGGTCATCTTTTGGTTTCTGATGTAAATTGTCTCTCAAACATTACTGCTGTCTGAAGGATGGAAAGCCTACAACTTTTTTTTCTGTTTTTGTTAGTGATACTGATGTAACAGAATATGGAGATGAAAATGGAACTGAGCATGTTTCTTCAGTTGGTGAGTTCTTTCCTTTTTTAATGCATGAACACACTTTAAGATCTTATAGGCATTCAAGTTATTACTTGAGTACACCAGTGTACTCTGTCATAGAACATCATTATGTCTGGTGTCTTTTCTATCAGTAATCATACAGTTCAATGTGTGACACAGATTACTTATACTGCCCAGGATCCCATTTTCAGATAGGGCGATAGTTACCTCAAAATTAGAGTTGGGCATGATTAATACTCTTCTATGCCCTTGAAAATTAATGTGCTTTTGATTGAATGAAAATTCCTGATATTGCAATTGTTTTTAAAACATGCTTATACCAAGTGATTGAAAAGGCTAGTTTACAGAAATGCAATAAAAACAGCAGTGTAGCACACCATTTATGAAAGAGTTCTAGAAACTTACAGAAGAGAACTATCAGTAACAGTACTCAGTTGAAATAATCTGGTCATGTATTTAGCATGTTAAACAACCACAACCCTTTTTCAGATATTAATCTTACATATGTCATACATTTGTTCATTTTTGTTGTATTTTTGCTCTGTCATATAATGATGTTCATCTTTTTTCTTGTTTTTTAAGCTGAAGGAGGGTCTTTGTTGCCGCGTATCCCATTCGAAGAAGGATATCATCGACTTGTTGTACGAATCAACCAGATTGGACTGAAGGATGCCCATGTGTACATTAATCCATTTTTTACTGTTTCTGTGAAAGGTAACGATCAATGATTATTATAATGCCAAGGTGGAGGGGATGTTAACTAATTCCTTTAACCCCTAAGAGTCACCATGAGCATGTAATTTCTCCTCTCAATTTCATCCCTAAAACACACATAGGGTCACAAGAATAAAGTAAATGATCACCAACAAAAGAAGTTCTTGATTGTTAGGTACATTCTCCTTACCAGCACCTTAGGAAATGTAAGGAGAACAGTATGGAGAATATGCATACTGATATTTAGGGTGTAAAGAGCTAACAAATAACTGCAGCAAATTTATATTGAACTATTGAGTGTTTTCTCTCTACAGATGCCAATGGTGTGAATGTAACCCCAGCTCAAGATACACCCACTTCAAACAGAGTTAATGGAAAGTTTATCAACTTTGATACTGATGTAGAAATTCAAAAGCCTATAGAGAAACTTCCAAGAGGTTAGAGTTGTTGTATTTTTTATTTTGGAATTCCATGTGTCTGTTGGGCTCTTTGTCAAAAAAAACATTGTCAAAGGGAGAACTCTTAAAAAAAAAGGAGAGAATTCCACCAATCACAGCTAAATAAGATTTCAGAAGAGGAAGTTTGATTCATTTCTAACAAATTCAATGAGTACCAAGCCAGTACAGTTTGTTGATTTGAAATTAAAAGCTCTGTTCTGACCAAACTTTTTTTTTTGAATGGTCAGTATTGAAAGGGAACACAGAAAAAAGGCTGTGATGCAGCATCTTCTTCTCCCCACTGTTTCACAAGGGAACACAGGGAAATTTGAAAGGAAAATTGTGTAGTCAATCAGAAGTCACAATAAGGAGCTTTTTCCGTACATCCCTTCAATTTGTCTTACATGGTTCTCACTCTGTACATGTTTGATTTATTCTGACAAATCCAGCCTTATCTGTTCTAACTTCCTGGAAGTTAAAAAATAATGTAAAACTTCTCCTTGCCATGTCAATCGAGCAGGTGATAAAACAAAGTTCTCAGGAGGAAGATGTTACCTTCTAAGGGCCTATTTACACGGTACGACTTTGTCGCATGCGACAAGCTTACGACAAGCTTACGACACTAATTGTTTCGTGTAAATCAAACCTACAACTCGCTTACGACTCTTAAGTCATGTCGTAGGCCTGTCGTAAGCTTGTCGCATGCGACAAAGTCGTGCCGTGTAAATAGGCCTTAATAAAGCCATAATTCTCCTAAAATTTTTTCAAGTTAAAATGTACAGTGACCAGAACAGAGAATCACTTGTTAGTTACTGGGCAGTTAAAACGTGTTAAGACTCCTCGTTGTTTTCACAATACAGGTACCGCAATATTCTTCGAGTTTAAACATTACAAACCGAAAAAGGATATTGTGAGCACAAGGTGCTTTGCTTTCATGGAACAGGACGAGTTTAAACCTGGTCCTGCCTGTATCGAACTGTAAGTAAATACGACTATTTGTTAACTGCATCAGGGACGCTTTCATGGTATAAGCAATCTTAGCAATCAAAGTTGACTAAAGTGTTTGTACAGACATAAGCGGTGGCCTTGAGGTCGTATTAAAAGATTCTGGGTCAGAGCCTAATTCCGGAATACTGTCTTATGTTCTTGGACTGGACACTGACAGGGATTTCAATAGCGTTTGCCATAAGTGGCTGCCGACGGTGCCTGAAGAGGCGGCTGAGCCCGGAAAAGTGGGCGTACAGCAAAACTCAAACACGAGAGCGGTGAGAGGTCTGATTAAGGCGGCGGTAGATCGAGGGTAACTGGCTTTCATTGAAAACCCTGCGCTTACCTTTTATTGACTGTGTAACTGTCTGTCTGTCTGTCAGTCTGTCTGCCTGTCAGCTTGTCTGTCTGACTGCCTTGTCCCTCTGACTTTCTGACTACCTGACGGTCAATGATTTCCTCTTTATCTGAATGTCTATCTTTCTGACCAACTGATTTTCGCCATGTTTATTTGATTGACTTTCTGACTATCTTAATGTCTGTCTGTCTAAATGTTGTGTGTCCGTCTGCTGTTATTGTTATCCTGATACTGCTTTTTCACGGTCTTAAACTGCAGGGTTCCTTTTTTTTTTTCAGCTATCAGAAACCAACGGATTTTAATCGCAAGAGGTTAAATCTATATACACAAAAACCGCTTTATCTTCACCTAACACTCAATGTCCTTGATGACTGATATCAGACAATAGATAGCATGCGAGTAAGCCCTTATTATTATCCAACAGCACAAAGTAAAGTACAAATATCTTGCGATATTGTACGGTCATTTGGACAGTTGGTTATTTTGTACTGCAAAAAGACGCTTCTCTATTCACTTTGCTTTTCCCGCCATATAAGAAATGAGCAGAAAAACTTGGCAGAACAAAAAGCAGTTGAATAATAAATAACTTATTAGGCGTTTTGGTGTGTTGTATCGCTGAGTATCGTTACTCGTGGTTTGGGATTTAACTCGCCCTACGGGCTCGATAAAATACGGCATAACTCGTAAAATACTCTGTGATACTACACACCAAAACGTCTAATCAAATATATTTATTGGCGCTTAAGCACAAGCATTTTTTTGCCCGCGTGAAGTATTGAAGCGTTGAGAAAAGCGAGCCAGGGAGGAGTCTGCAAGGGGTCTGGCACTCATAATACCTCGTACCAGACCTCTTGCCGACTTCTCGCCTTACTCTGGGCCTCAAACGGGTGACGAACGCTTGTGCCAAAGCCCTAACAATGACGACCTGCTCGTGGGCTAGACAAAGATGATTTATTTCATTTGTTGAAACACGAGCAAGGAGTCAAAGGATTCAATATCTTTCTACTGAATCATACACATATACTATTAAAATTTTTAAGCGCAATCCTGATGCTAACCAAAACTATCCAAGAGTTTTTACAAGGGGAAGGAATCAAGCTATTTTTTATTACAAAGTGTGAGTAGGGTTTTTTTTTCTTTCATTGATAACGGATTTTCGCAGAGAATTATTTTCAAAGTGGCTGTGAGCTACTGAAGCAAAAATTGATATTTGTTTCAAGTATCTATCGATGAGGGATTTAAAATACTCCTTGTCTTGGAAATTGCGTACCATTTGTATTACGGTGTATCAGTATCATAATTAATTACAACACTAAAATATAACTAGTTTACCACGATACAAAAAATCATTACCTGCCAGCGAATTCTAAAGAAATGTATTAGTTTTACAGTGTTCGCCAAGGCCGGGTTGTTTAAAGCTGGGTTAAGATAACCCCGGGTTAGCGTCAAACCTGATTTAGATCTGAAAGCTTTAGAAGAAAATTCAGTCGAATTCCTTTTTGTCTAGAATATGGCTCTTTGATGCTCTTATAAGAACACAGAAAATTATCCTAAAAAGGCTTCTGAATAAAGGAATAAAGAAACCTAGATTAAAATTTAACTTTGGGTTAGCGCTTATCAACATATTTCTTTAAAATCCGCTGGCTCTGTAATGAGTTTTTGTATCGTGGGAACTAGTTATATGTAGCTATTTTAAAGAAATATGTTAGTTTTACAGTGTTCGCCAGAAGAATTGAATTTGCCCTTATATCAAAGTCTTTGCGAGATAAAAAGCAAACTTAGTTTGAAAACAGCGAATTCCACAAGCACAGGACGAAATTGCAAGAATCCGTAAACGGAAACGTGGCGGAAACATGCAACTCCATGTTTCCGTTATGTTTACGTAAAAGTGGTCCGGTTCCGTTGTATACGCAACAACGGAAACGCGAGAAAACGTCACGAAACCGGTAACGGAAACACAGGTTATCCGTCTTGTTTCCGGAACGGTTTAACATGTTTCTGCCACGTTTCCGTTTACGGATTCTTGCAATTTCGTCCTGTGAAGGATTATGAATTATTAGAGAAGAGGGTTCAATATTCATTTCTCCCTAGACCTAGAATGTCAAAATTATTATTATAGGTTTCATAAGAGACTGATGTGCTAAGTAAGTGGAACATATTATAAGCTAGAAATTGACGAAACAAATCCTTTGCTTCTCACAGGCTGGTACTTCAACGTGAATTAGTTACAAGTTTTTACACCGTTAAAATATAGCGCAAGTTCTTAGTTTGGGAAGAAACGTCTTGTTCGACATTGGAAAAGGAAATGTTTTAATGTTTTTAACATTTTAAGGGCAATTTATTTGGTAGTGAATGTCAGAGAAAAACGGTAAAAATCACGTATATTTCCTTATTATCTTAAACGTAACTTAGATTTAGAAACTATTTAGTAGATCGATTTATTTTAAAAATTGTAGTTGAAATCTATAATTGTAGATGTCGATGTATTTAGTTAGGAAAGTTTATTTGTTGGAAGAGCTCTTTTCATCGTATATCATAATTAGGGTTCTTATCATTATCATTAGAGACATTTTCGATTGAGAGTCGAAAGTAATCCAAGATTGCATCGGTTTAACTCTACTTCGTTCTGTAATTGGTCCAGAAGGCTCGTGTCACTTTTTCAACCAATGAGATGCAAAAGTAACACCAATCATGACTTGGCCGCCCGCGTTTTCCCGCGCTTTAGGCAGTTTGGTTGTTTTTACCTCGAGTTCGCAGCGGCTTGTAAAGATCTTTTCCTTTCTTCTGATTGATTGTTGTGATTCCTTTTGTTTTGCTTTAACGACACGCAATCAAAGAGCACTCGATTGAAAAATAAAAGTTAGAAAGTGAGAATCACTCCTAGACTGGTCATTCTGTTTGTCAAACTTTTCATTTAGCTTACGCCTGCAACTGATTCAGTTTTCGTCCTTTGATAACATTGTATGCTTGGCAATTACTAAAGGACAAGACCAAAAAGACAGAGTCTAAGTTCTTGGGGTGTTAGTCAGGACTTAAGGCAAAATTCGTTTTTCATCAACGAGTCCTATCGATTAGCTTTTATCTGATAGAGATTCCTCTGTGAAAACTTTCTTCAATCGTATCAAATTGATCAGAAAGGTCTTTCGAGGAACATTGCAATTTCTCTTTTCAACCATTTAAAGCCACAAAACGTGCACATGAGGTTTTAGAATTTAATAACCACCATTAACGCAATCTTGTTAGCCCTAAATTTCCATCATGACAAAATCGAGTACCGTTTCTTCATTAATTGTTAACAAATTGAATATCTCAGTGACAGGTTTTAAGGAATCACTTTTTGAGGGTTTGAGGAAATACGTAGATTGCTTTTTCAATTGAAAATAAAAGAGAATGAAGCATCTTTGTATAAAACTTTCCACGAAAGATATTTATCAATTTACAGGTTAATAAAGGTAAAAAATTGCTAAGGTCACCAGCATCACAGTCGAAGTCAATTGGTTATTCAATTAGACTGAGTGTAATAAGATGCCATAAGATATCTTCCCTACTACCTTAATGCACATCTTTTGTTTCAAGCAGTCCTTTCAGCTTTACCATGACAACATGGGATATCAAAAGAAATTGAGAGGAAGTGAATCATGAGATCTATTAAGATGCCATGAATTCCTAGGTGGTTTTTGCGAGGATGGCAGATGACGTAGTCAAGATTTGGACCAAAGATTTTGGGGTGAAAAGAGTTTGGGTCATATGGTTTTCAGGTGGAACGGAAGGGGAGGGGGGGGGGGTCAATCATCGCCAACGGAGTGTTGGACTGTTTAGGTTAACTAGCTTGAGCAACTCACGTAAACGGAGGCACCAGAAGTCTTTTCAGGAGGTTCATTTCACTCTCTGAGACTCTGTCTCTCTTCTAATAATTCAACCCTGGGTACACGCTCTTAAATACCCTATCTTAAGCATATTTGGCCGTATGGGACAGCTAACCGTGGCAGAGTAAACATATTTTTTGAACGCTCACCAAAACAATCTCACGAGACATTCGAAATGAGCAACAAAGTACCTAACAACAAAATCCTTGATTTAGATACGTTGATTCCTTAATCGTGAGGTATTTAAGATTCAGAAAATATGTAAGGCTTTTTGTAAGTAGTTGGAGTAAGGATATAGTGTTCAAGAGCTCCCTATTTCGGATGAAAACATATTACTTAGTGGCCTATTTGTCGGCTGAAAATGTTCGGTTGCTAATTTTTTCACGGGAAGAAGCTAAAACATTTTTGTAAAATATTTCCCTTACAGGTATTTATTAACTAACAGGTTGACTAGGACAAAAAATTTCCAAGGTCACAGCAATAAAGTCGAAATCAACTGGTTATTCAATCAGACTAAATGTAATAAGATACTTTAAAAGCTCTACTTTATTTCCTGTAGGTATTCACATCTTTTGTTTCAACTAGTCCTTTTAGCCTTAAAGAAAGACTTTTTCTATACGATGACAAGATGGGATGTCAAAAAAAAATTGAGACAAAGTGAACCATGAGATCCATTAAGATTTCATGAATTCCTCTGTTGTAACTGAGGCGAAATAGATTATGTAATGTATTCTATCACAAAATCTTAAAAGCCGAGAAGAACAGAACATAGTGAAGAGATCACAACAGCAGTCGAGATAAGCTTGGATAGTTGTACCCCTTTGTGACGATACGGTGAAGATGAACTTTCTTGGTTTTGCTTTCACCTTGGTGTTGCTTGTGGCAGTTCAGCTAACCACTTTTACATGGGCCGCAACGAATGTGACAAAAACCTCAGGAAAAGGTAAAAAAGCGTTCCCTTTATTTCCAATCCCTTTCGCACACGTAAACTGTGTTCATTGGATTAAGCGTTGCTCCCGAATAAGCGCTCTGGGACTATCATGACTCAAACGCGAGCGAGCGTGCAAAGTTTGTCTGAGGCACCCTTAGAACTTATTCTACGCGGAATTTTTTTCTCAGTTTCAAACGCTACAGTTCTTTATTAGACACACATTAAAGGTCGCTGGTTACTTTTACATTTTTGCAAACATAGAGCAAGCCTATTCAAGCGGTGGATTCTGTGTGGGTTGTTAATTCGATTCCGATAATAGATCTAAACTTAAACCTCCACATATTGATGTTTGATGGATAAATTTTGAACCATGTATAGACAAAATGAAACTTTGAGTAACAGTATCTGCTACTTGCTAAAAACAATTTACAGTAGAACAAAAGAACTTATGATGGACTTCAATTTCAGTTTGGCGGAAGTTTTTTCTTCGAGAATTTTTTAGTTATTACAAGCAAATCGTTGCATCTTTAGGAGAAAAGAAAAACTGAGAAATTTGGTGTACGCTCGATGGCCGAGCAAAGCGTAATTGAAAACTGACTTTTGTCTCGAGTTTTCATCTTTTTTAATTAATTTTGTGAGGATGGCAGATTACTTAGCGAAAGTTAGATAAACGTTGACTAAACTGTGGAAGGTTACGCTAGTCTTCAAAGACGCAACTCAGTCCTCCAAAGAATTGAAAGAAAGAGAGAGCTTCCTTCCTAAAACTTTACGGTCATTTTTCAATCTTGGTCTTCATGGCCGATTAAACGTGTTTCAAAGATGTTTTCAAATTTCTCCTAACCGTAACAATACATCATTAATTCTGCATTAGGGACCAACCAACATTTATCGCATGGGGGGGAGGGGAGGAGGGAATGAGGGATGGAAGAGGGATTTTGGAGCCAAAGTAATATTTTTTGGGGGGAGGAAGGTTCACATGGTTTTCAGGAGAATGAAAGGGGGATCAGTCGTTACTTACAGAGTACAAAAGGAGAACAATAGGAAATTGATTGTAAATGAGTGGGGATCATTAGAATACTACACTACCCCCCCTCCCTCCCCCTACCCTCCTCTTTGCCAGGCGATAAATGACAAATGACCGGTTGATTGATTCGTTATACGAAAACTCACTTGTTGTAGAGATCATAGAGCTAACATGAAAATTATAAATGATCCTCTACTGCATTTCTTTCAAGAGTATTTTACAGAAAGACAGATATTCTTACTCGAGGTCTAATTTTGCTCAGAAAAAACAATTAAAAAATACTGATTTATCAAAGATTTAAATATTAACTTTTATCATTACCCTTGAATGAGAATCGATGGAGGAATAACACACGGATCCCTAAGGAGATAGTCGTCATCTTCATCCGAATGAAGAAGCTCTATGAAGGATAAGCATCTAGCATGATTTTGAGAAATTTATGATAATATGAATAAATAGACAACCTTTTCTTTTGTCAAAGATTACGATGAGCAAGGAAAACACCTGAATGAACAACCAGTACGTCGCAAGTTATCAGCATGCAATCTTAACACATTCTCGTTGCATAATGAGAGACCAATCTTTCATGAGCAGCAAGGTGTCACCCTTCCCCTCTGCCAAGGCGAGTATTATGCCACTCTCCACGATAATAATTTGGGAATTGCACGTTACTCACTCTACAAGATTACCTCCGAACAAGCCACGGCAACCCAAGTACCAAGACCTGCAGGTGACCCATGGCAACCGAATCAGACGCCAGGTAAGTTAATTAGTGTTACTGTTATAATTTACTTTTTTGATGAAGAAATTTAGGAAAAAATAAAATCGTTTCTCATTCCACTGCTACAACGTCCGTTCGTTCATGTTGTTTTGGTCTTTCACGCACTCCTTATGCCATCGATAAAATGCTGAGATGAGGTTATGTGAATATTTCGTAAATTTAAAGTTCAAACACTTGGAAATATATACCTACATACATACATACATACATACATACATACATATATATATATATATATAAGCAGCGCAGAATTGGTATACCTAACGATGAACTCCCAGTAAGAGGATCTACAGGATACAATGTCTCGACGTGAATTTATAGTTAAGTGTACCATAAGGACGTAACGAAGAGGTCAACTCTTGACTGTTCTAGACGAGTTTAATACACGACGTTTCAGCCGTTCGGCCTCAGGGATGGGTGGGGGGTGGTTGTAATAGTAAACACTACTGGTTAATGGAGCTTTTACTCGATCTTGGTCATGGTTTGATGCTACTCTGGTTTGCAGATTTAATGAATGTAACCGAAGACGTTACAATTTATAGACCCAACGTTTCGACACTCCTGTCTAGTGCCTTCATCGTTTAGATTACCCCTCCATTAACTCTCCATTAACCAGTAGTGTTTACTATTACAACCACCTCCCACCCCTACCTGCGTAGTAATAGTCCGTCTCTCGCCCCTCCCTGGGTAATAACACTCTGCCTCCCACCCCTCCTTCAGTACTGATAGACTTCATCCCACCCCTCCCTAAGTATTAATGGTGTCCAAAAAAATGGTCCAAAAAATAGTCCAGTCCATTTATATTTTACCCTATGCCATGTGGTCTTTCGGGAGGTGCCTGTCTACTAGGGCAAGGAATCTGTGTCCGATATAGGTGCTGACGTTTTTGCTGAATGGGGGGTTGTACCAGAGAATGTTGTTCTGTTGTCTGTTTTTTCGGTTGTTAGTCGTGGGTGGTGAGTAGTAGAGTGTATCGGTGTCCGCATTCGTCGAGTGCTTTTTGGTATGGCGGAGGATGCTTTGTCAGATGAAAGAGACGACAGTCCACCGCGAGAGCTACCACCCACCATCCACCACAAAGAACATACCGGCCAGCATCAACAAAAGACTGTCGTCCCTTTCATCTTACAAAGCATCCTTCGACCAAGCCGCTCCGCATCACTGAAACATACATCGGACTTACTCATATATATATATCATCAGGGGATGTAAGTGGGAAATCCCCTGATGAGTGGGCAACCACGAAACAGGTCGGTAGGGATGAACTGGTAGTTTATTTGTCTTTTTCCTCCCACAATAAATACGTAGCTCTACTTCTATGTATTGAGCACTGTTTTACGTAAGTCAAAATTTTACACTTTATATATATATATATATATATATATATATATATACATACATGCATATTGCACATATATGTATATATTTCCTAGTGTTTGAACTTTAAGTTACGCTACATATAGAGATACAGATATATATAGAGAAGTAGATATATATAGAGAGAGATCGTCAACTTAAAGTTCAAACACTAGGAAATATATACATATATGTATAAATATAGATAGATATATATATATATAGATAGATTGATAGATAGATAGAAAGATAGATATAAAATAAACAACCGTTTTCAAAAACGTTGCAATTTGAAAATATACATGAAATATATATATACATCTTTGTTTTCTCATCAAAGAGAGACACGAATAAGACACTGATATATGTATATAAGGGCGTATATAAATATATATACATGTATGTTTTTATACAGATAGATAGACATAGATAGATAGATAGACATAGATAGATAGATAGACATAGATAGATAGACAATAGATAGCTAGATATTAGCTAGATATACATTTATATTATGCATCATTATTCTATCACCCCATTTTACCATATTAGGGCAACGGTACACGCAAAACATGCGACGGTATTACACTGCAAGTACAATGGAGCAACCATACGGACGGAAACAGGAGAAACTTGTGGGAAAATTCATGCATGATCGATAGTTTAATCATGTTGAGCAAATCAGTTCTTTGACTTAACTGAGCTCTTTCACTTACACATTTCGTAACTAAGATCGGGAGGGTGACAACTTTATTTAACTAGCGGATCATCCGAGAACAAAATTTCTTGACTAGTGAGTGACATCAGTGTACTTTAAAACTCTCTCATGTTCAGGGATTCATCAAGGAAGCAATGCATTGTATCGGGACCAACCAATCCAGGGTAGATACGAGAGAGGCCACCTCGTTCCTGTTGATATCTTACGTTACAGCACTGGAAGTGCTCTTGCCACTTTCACCTTCACCAACTCCGTGCCGCAAATTGCAGGTTTCAACAAAGGTCAGTGGGGAAAGTACGAACGGAAAATAAAGAAATATGCCCAGCAAACTTGTTCTTCGGAAGGCGGAACTCTTTTCCTAATCACCGGCATATCATCGGTTTCATTTAGCAGAACAGGTAGTCATCCAGTTAAAACAATAGTCAAGAGGGTGGAGCCTATGAGGTGGTTCCACAACGACGTGGATGTAAACCAAAAGATCGCAATTCCAAACTCAATATGGACAGTAGGCTGTTGTTTGAACTTGGATAACGAAGTTGTGGGAGCTTTTGGTGTAATGGGTCATAATTCTTTTGAAAAAAGGATCTTAAATGTAATTTTGATGTCCTCACAAACCGTCAAATCTGTTGAAAACACCCTTCGATTAGAAGATCCAACAATTGACTTGTTTCCTTTAGGCTCAGACTGCTATGACCAAGAAAAAAACGTTAAATTGAATGAAATATGATTTAATTATGTTTCTTGAAAGGAGTATTGCTAAAATCCTTGACAGGAATCTTAGAGGCATCTTGCATGAAATAACCAGATTCATATCAATGCACAATTGTCATCATATCTCAGTTAATACGTCGCTATGATTGGTCAATTAAACCGGTCGTATTTCATCTATCTGAACCCCACAATATAATAAATATCTTAGTAATTCGTTTTCCTCGAGTTGTACTGTTAGTTATGAACTCGGTTAGAAAGAGGTGTTTAAAGCTTGTATTTCCATCCTTTGTGTTCAAAATTTGCATCCTACTTTATCTACTAAACAATCTATAGATTGTAACGAAGAAGTGGAATCAACGAGTCAATTAACTGTAATCTAAGAAATTAAACGAAATTTAAGGTTGTCCCAAACATTTTGTCGAAGATCTGATATCGAACTGTACATCATGGCCTTTACTTTTTCACTGGATTTTTTTGAGTAATTTCCCACCCCAGTTAAGAGGCTTCGTTCAAATTCGCAGGGAACCAATCCATATAACTTCCTACATTAGACCTCTCAATAATTATTCCATTCGAATGAGACAAATCCCTCAGATCATTTTACTTGAGAGTGTGGGCCGTGATAAAATCACATGATCTAACTCACAGCAATCTTCAAATGAGTGCCTTAGCTCAATTGCCCGTGATGGATTTCTTTTGCATCATTGCACTCCGCGATTGGTTTATAAACTTGTGCGATCGTATCCTACGAGCGGCTGCAGGCGAGCAGGCCCTCGATCATTATTGGCCCTGCGGCAGGTGCGTTTCTCCACCCACAAGAAGATTTGTGACGAGCCTGGGGAAATGTTTGCAGGGAGGGTGTGGCACTAATAATGAGCCTAGACCCCTTGCCTCGCCGGTTTTGTTTTGTTTTGTTTTTTCTCACGGCCTGATACTTACTTTGTCGTGGGTAATAAACGCCCGTACAGAAGTACTGATATTGACGGCCTACTCGCAAGCAATTGCCAATCAATCGACCAATCAGATCAGAGAAAGTACTCAACTCCAATCGCGACTTGATTATCCATGTTTTCAAGTCTATAATCGTGGCGTTTACTTTCAGCTCTCATAAACCTTTTATGGTTACTTTGTTCCATTTGGGGAATTACTTTACTCTTGGTCTTACGTCACTTGATCAAAAAACCGCTGAAATATCAATTGTGTGATTCCAAATGCTGACAAAACATCGTAACGAAATAGAGTACGAAAACTTCACTGATCACGGTTAAAATTAAATCTTTAGTAGGTGGACATCTGGGAATCATTTCACAGAGTATTCTCACCGAAGGAGGGCTAATTCTATTGTAAATTGAATGATTTAATGGTTAAGATCAAACAAGGATGGTGGCGTGGACCGAGTGTGAGCTTGGAACTTGGAACACTAATGATAATAATAATGATGATAATATAGATTTAATCATCGTAACTTCTGATTATAACTCTTTAGTAAAGTTTTGGAGAATGTCTGTGAAAGAGCTTCTACTTTCACATCTTTTTGTTCATAGTTATCCAAATAAAGGAATATTTTCAGGCTTTTGATCTTATTTCCTCCAAAAAATTTACTCAACGAAACTCAAGTCAGCGCCGTGACTGGGGATGACATATGTGATAACTTCACATTCCAATTTACTCACCACAATAACGATAGCAATGGCCGCGGTGTGCAGACACAAGAGAAACTTCATAATGAAGGTAGACTGGAAGCATTTAGAGAGAATGTCCACTAAGACCGAGCGAAAATGAAAATTCGTGGCACATCTCGAAAAATCAAGATTTTTCATATTTTCTCTGAAGATACCCTATAGTGGCTTAAGAAACGTGATAAGATTTTTTTCTAGTAATATCCTTTAAAACCTCCATAAAATAAAATAAAAAAACCGTCACGAGCCAAAATGTCCTGAAAGGCATCCGAAAAATACGCGATTGGTACCTTCCCATAAAATTCGCCCTTTTGCATTCGCATCATAGAAAGAACCGTTTCGTGCTTTCAACATTGCTATTGAAGTCTTTGCAACTTGACTTAAATCTTACTCCACTTGAAATTGATATTCTTGTGAGAATAAATGCTGGTCTAAAATGGGGTGGAAAAATTAGTTTCGGGCTTTTTACCAGCGCCGAGTAGGAAGCCTCTTAAAATAGCTGTTATCACAACAAAAGCGTGTCAACCGGAAGTCAACAAATAGCACATTCTCCACACCCGTAAGCAAACGATTATACAATTTTTACATTCTAATTAATCTATGTGGTCGTCAGTAATCCACATAAGATATTGACTTAATATCTGTTTCCGTGACTATTTTATCGCTTGTAGATTAGCCATCTCGGGTAGACATTAGTGTCACCCTGAGCCGGGTCAACTTACATGAGTTTATTCAATTTTCCCAGCTTTTTTTTTTCTACAACTAACCTATAAGAGCCTTTACAGATCAAAATAATTTGTTTTGCTTCGAGTTTCAAAGCAGTTTCTCCCAAAATGCTCTTTACAGCATTCAAACACCATTTTTGCCGAAATCTCTTATGCAATCGTGATCATATCTGTTAAGTCACACAATGGTTACGAAATAGATTTTACAACTACAACTTTTTTTTCTTTTCTGTATTAGCCCCAAAAATTTCTAAAAGCTGACTGAAAATGCAAATTCCTACCTATTTAATTGTTCATTTAATTATTATTGAGTAGATGATATTTTTATAAATTTTGTTAGTGATACTGATGTAACAGAATATGGAGATGAAAATGGAACTGAGCATGTTTCTTCAGTTGGTGAGTTCTTTCCTTTTTTAATGCATGAACACACTTTAAGATCTTATAGGCATTCAAGTTATTACTAACACCAGCGTACTCTGGCATAGAATATCACTATGTCTGGTGTCTTTTACTCTCAGTAATCATACAGTTCAGTGTGTGACACAGATTACTTATACTGCCCAGGATCCCATTTTCAGATAGGGCGATAGTTACCTCAAAATTAGAGTTGGGCATGATTAATACTCTTCTATGCCCTTGAAAATTAATGGTGCTTTTGATTGAATGAAAATTCCTGATATTGCAATTGTTTTTAAACATGCTTATACCGACTGATTGAAAAGGCTAATTTACGGAAATGCAATAAAAACAGCAGTGTGGCACACCATTTATGAAAGAGTTCTAGAAACTTACAGAAGAGAACTATCAGTAACAGTACTCAGTTGAAATAATCTGGTCATGTATTTAGCATGTTAAACAACCACAACCTTTTTTCAGATATTAATCTTACATATTGATGTTCATCTTTTTTCTTGTTTTTTAAGCCGAAGGAGGGTCTTTGTTGCCGCGTATCCCATTCGAAGAAGGATATCATCGACTTGTTGTAAGAATCAACCAGATTGGACTGAAGGATGCCCATGTGTACATTAATCCATTTTTTACTGTTTCTGTGAAAGGTAACAATCAATGATTATTATAATGCCAAGGAGTAGGGGATGTTAACTAATTCCTTTAACCCCTAAGAGTCACCATGAGCATGTAATTTCTCCTCTCAATTTCATTCCTAAAACACACATAGGGTCACAAGAATAAACGAAATGATCACCAACAAAAGAAGTTCTTGATTGTTAGGTACATTCTCCTTACCAGCACCTTAGGAAATGTAAGGAGAACAGTATGGAGAATATGCATACTGATATTTAGGGTGTAAAGAGCTAACAAATTAATGCAGCAAAATTTATATTGAACTATTGAGTGTTTTCTCTCTACAGATGCCAATGGTGTGAATGTCACCCCAGCTCAAGATACACCCACTTCAAACAGAGTTAATGGAAAGTTTATCAACTTTGATACTGATGTAGAAATTCAAAAGCCTATAGAGAAACTTCCAAGAGGTTAGAGTTGTTGTATTTTTTATTTTGGAATTCCATGTGTCTATTGGGCTCTTTGTCAAAAAAAAACATTGTAAAAGGGAGGACTCTTAAAAAAAAGGAGAGAATTCCACCAATCACAGCTAAATAAGATTTCAGAAGAGGAAGTTTGATTCATTTCTAACAAATTCAATGAGTACCAAGCCAGTACAATTCGTTGATTTCAAATTTAAAAGCTCTGTTTTGACCAAATTTTTTTTTTTGAATGGTCAGTATTTAATTGAAAGGGAACACAGAAAAAAGGCTGTGATGCAGCATCTTCTTCTCCCCACTGTTTCACAAGGGAACACAGGAAAATTTGAAAGGAAAATGGTGTAGTCAATCAGAAGTCACAATAAGGAGCTTTTTCCGTACATCCCTTCAATTTGTCTTACATGGTTTTCACTCTGCACATGTTTGATTTATTCTGACAAATCCAGCCTTATCTGTTTTAACTTCCCGGAAGTTAAAAAATAATGTAAAACTTCTCCTTGCCATGTCAATCGAGCAGGTGATAAAACAAAGTTCTCAGGAGGAAGATGTTACCTTCTAAGGGCCTATTTACACGGTACGACTTTGTCGCATGCGACAAGCTTACGACAGGCTTACGACACGAATTGTTTCGTGTAAATCAAACCTACAACTCGCTTACGACTCTTAAGTCATGTCGTAGGCCTGTCGTAAGCTTGTCGCATGCGACAAAGTTGTGCCGTGTAAATAGGCCTTAATAAAGCCAAAATTCTCCTAAAATTTTTTCAAGTTAAAATGTACAGTGACCAGAACAGAGAATCACTTGTTAGTTACTGGGCAGTTAAAACGTGTTAAGACTTCTCATTGTTTTCACAATTCAGGTACCGCAATATTCTTCGAGTTTAAACATTACAAACCGAAAAAGGATATTGTGAGCACAAGGTGCTTTGCTTTCATGGAACAGGACGAGTTTAAACCTGGTCCTGCCTGTATCGAACTGTAAGTAAATACGACTATTTGTTAACTGCATCAGGGACGCTTTCATGATATAAGCAATCTTAGCAATCAAAATTGACTAAAGTGTTTGTACAGACATAAGCGGTGGCCTTGAGGTCGTATTAAAAGGGTCTG